TTTTTTTTTTTTTTTTTTTTTTTTTTTTTTTTTTTTTTTTTTTTTAATATCAAAATTAGTTCAATAATAATAATAATTTTCATACCACTAATTTTTGTTTAATGTTGAGCTGATTTGTAGCTGTTATTGATGATATGACACAGATGGAGCGAATGAGTGGATATGGCCTGAAATCCACCAAGTCTGTCCCTTCTTCGTACTATCACCTGCCGTCCAATGCTCCACAGTCGTCGGGTTTCGTGGGGGAAATGTATGGAGCGTGCGACTTTCTCCGCTCCATTTCCAGACCTTCAGAAGCCGACAAGCCAATCATTGTAGAACTGGCGGTTTCCGGCATGGAGGAATTGAGCCGAATGGCTCAGGCCGGAGAACCGTTGTGGGTTCCGGCTGATACCAAGTCAAGTGAAGTGGTTCTTAACGAAGCAGAGTATTTGAGCTGTTTTGGGGGCAGAGTTGGGCCCAAACCCTTGGGCTTTAGAACCGAAGCTTCTCGAGTTTCGGCTATTGTGTTCATGAACCATATTAAGCTCGTGGATATTTTAATGGACGCTGTACGTTTGTCTCTAATTCTAATCCTTAATTTGTTTTTAATTCTAATCAATGTAAAATTAATTATATGTTTGTTTGTTTCTTAGACGCAATGGTCCACTGTGTTCTGCGGCATTGTTTCCCGGGCGTCCACCGTTGAAGTTCTTTCGCCTGGCCTACCCGGAAACTTCAACGGCGCCTTGTACCTGGTACTCAAATTAAATTTTTTTTAAGAGTTTATACTCAAAGTGGACAATTTGTGATGGTTTCGTGTGGACAGATGAGTGCTGAATTCCAAGTTCCATCGCCACTTGTTCCAACACGTGAAAACTACTTTGTAAGATACTGCAAACAGCAGGGGGATGGGGTATGGGCGGTGGCTGATGTTTCCTTGGACACCCTGCGGCCCTGTTCCATGCCAAGGACCCGAAGGAGACCTTCTGGTTGTTTGATTCAACAATTGCCCAATGGCTATTCAAAGGTGTTGTTCTTTAATTCTAGTTCCAACCAACTAATTAAAATTATGAACACCTACGGGTGCTGATGATGGCCTTATTTTTCAGATCACTTGGGTGGAACATGTTGAGGCGGACGAAACTGGTGTCCCGACAATGTACAGACCGCTCTTTAATTCAGGCCTCGCTTTTGGGGCTAAACGATGGGTTGCTACTTTAGATAGGCAATCTGAACGTTTTGCCACATCAATCGCCACCTCCATATCCACCGGCGATCTACGCGGTTCTACTCTGCTCTACTCTAAATCATTCCTCTGTTTTCATCATTACTCAGTAACTTAATGCTATTCCCACCAATGAATTATGGCAGTCATATCGAGTATTGAAGGGAGGAAGAGTATGCTGAAGCTAGCCGAGAGAATGGTGACGAGCTTTTGCGCTGGCGTTGGCGCGTCGAGTGTACACGCGTGGACGGCGTTACCAATCGCCGCTGGTGATGATGTTCGAGTTGTAACGAGGAAGAGCACCGACGAACCAGGGCGACCACCTGGTGTTGTGCTGAGCGCCGCCACTTCTTTTTGGATCCCTGTTCCACCTAAGGTTGTGTTTGATTTCCTTCGGAAAGAGAAATCTCGAAGCGAGGTACCCATACATACATCAAGATATTCAAATGCTTAGATTTTTAAATTTCAAGTGCTGAAATAATTGGAATGTTTTTTTTTTTTTTAGTGGGATATTCTGTCGAATGGGGGGTTAGTCCAGGAAATGGCGCACATAGCCAACGGCCGCCACTCCGGGAATTGTGTTTCCTTGCTCCGTGTCAATGTCAGTAAGATTTTTTTTATTATTTGGGGTTTTTAACACAATAGATTGCTGAAAATTGTAAATGTGTTTTATAGAGTGCAAATTCGAGCCAGAGCAATATGCTGATACTACAAGAAAGCTGCACCGACTGTACAGGATCCTACGTTATTTATGCTCCGGTGGACACAGTTGCAATGAACGTGGTGCTAAGCGGTTGCGATCCGGATTACGTGGCACTTTTACCGTCAGGATTCGCCATACTCCCTGACGGACCCGCCGGGGCCAACGGTGGGGAAATTCTGGAGCTGGGCTCCGGTGGGTCACTCATCACGGTGGCATTTCAAATCCTGGTTGATTCAGTTCCAACGGCTAGACTGTCAATTGGATCAGTGGCCACTGTGAACAGCTTGATTAAGTGCACGGTTGAGAGGATCAGAGCGGCTGTGATGCGGGAAAATCCCTAAAACGCCCACTTTTTAAGTTTTTTGTTTTAAACTACGGTAACAATATTCTGAAATTTAGTGTCGTAATTTCACATAACGATCTTATAATTTGAAATATGGAGGTGTTTAATTAATTGAGTTTTTGGTTTGGATAAGCAGTAGGTGAGGAAGAGGAAGAGGAAGAGGAAGAGGAAGAGGAAGAGGAAGAGTCGAGAAGTCAAGAACGCACCTTGAAAAGCACTTCCCCCTGCCCCGGCGGTGATTTAGAGACGAATGGTGAATGGTTTGTAGGGGTTGGAAGAATCAGAGAGGATCGAGGAGGTTCGGGCATTGACTTTACTCTAACCTTCAACTTCAATAACAAAATTTTCTTGTTCTAAGTTTAGTGTTGGTCTCCTGTGGTGGGCGTTTGGTGGTTAACTGTATTTTGAATTTGTCATTAGGTTGGTGGTAATAATATTTAGAGACTATTCTAAAATTCCTACTTTTATTAAACATTTTAATTAATTAAACTAGAAATTCTCAATTTTTTTGTTTTTTTGGTAGAAAATATATTTAGTTATTACATCCTAATATTCAATATGATTTGATTTATAGTATATTTTATTTTATTTTCAATATTAAATTAGTTTATATTTTTCTTAGTGATATGTATTAGTTGATAGCTTATATCCTATCTAAAGCTTATGAATATAAATGAGAATGCACCATTTCCATCCCAATTCTATTTCTATTTCTCATTCTTAACATGGTATCAAAGCAACGATCTTGGTATAGTTCAAGAGGAGTATTAAACCTAAAGTCAAACCCTAACTCAATCAATGAAGCCTTTACGGTCGCTAATCATCCAATATTAAGAATACGTTATAAGCATCTTCAAATTTCTCACAAAGCTCAAAGGTGGCATATTCGAGATGTTCGTATTTTCTTTCACAACCTCTCAAGTGATTCAGAGTACTGATCTTGGTGTTATTATCCAACTTCAAAACTTCGGATGTTTATTTAACACATCCTTATTCTATTCATCAGTGTGATAAACCAAGATATTTACTTGTTCCAATCAAATTAAATGGAACAAAATTACAAATCTTGGAGTAAATCATTTATGCATGGACCAAGAAGTGATCAGGGAGTATATTCACTTTCCAATCAAATTAAATGGGACAAATTACCAATCCCTAGTACACTGCAGTCTATTTATGAGTTTTGCATGTTTTTGGGAAATTCAATAATTTATTGAGAAGTCTAAATTTTTTTTAGTTTTGCATTGCATCTATTTTGTAAATTCAATAATTTCTTGAAAGTAAAAAATGCAAACTAATCAAGTGCGGTCTATTGTTTCACTATTGAGAAGACAAAAGTGTAATTGACCTACACTCTTTTCTTAAGGACAAGTTTAGTGTTATTAACCTACATTCTCTATTTTCACTAGACAAAAGTGTTATTGACTTACACTCTCTTCTCAAAGACAAATCCGATGTTATTAACCTACACTGGTAAAGACAAATTGGATGTGATTACATACACTCTTTAACTTAGAGGGTAAGTCAATAACACTCCATTTATATTTGGCCAACTCTTAACTGAAAGTAAATAAATATCTTCACCCACCGAAATTTGTGTAAAGTATGTTTTGAAAAAGAAGAGAAAAAGGACTAAAAAAAAAAAAAAATGGTAGCCGTTAATTTTGGTTGTTGGGAGGACCCAGGAATCAGAAGGACAGAATGATTGGTCGGTTCAAACAAAACTCGGCAAACTCCCATTCGCTTCCACCAGCCGTCAATTATATTCCAGTTCAACTTCAAATATGTGCCGCTAATTATTTGCTGAAATGACACAGCACAGCGCCTCTGTGCTGCCGCTGCTGCTCCCACATGAGCTTGCGCCTTGTCTGTCACAATGGCTTGTGTCGTGTCTGCGTCCTTGAGATTTGAGATTTTCTTTACCCTTGTCCTTTTGTATCATTCCCATTAGAATCCCACTTTAGCAACTTGCGGTGCATAAACGCTCTCAGAAAATGGAAATATCAATCCGGAGGAGGTTTCCTTGAAGTGGGGAAATGCGGTAGAAAAATCAATGAATTGATAAAAACATGTTGAAGGAAATTGGAATTGAAGAGAGGCCAATTCAAACACCCCTACTTGTATATATCATTTTCGTCTCTTCATTCTCACCAAACGCCAATTTCCACCGAAACGGCTATCGAACAGATCCAACATGGTTTTAGAACAAAAACAAATTTAATCAAGCATAAAGAGAAGGTAGGAATTGAATTACTAATTTGAATTTTATTCCCTCATCGGGCTAATGAAAATTTGAAGATCCAACGGTTCTCCCTTTGCGTAATTGAACTCAAAATTGTATTATAAATAGCCACTCCTCTCCTCGCTCTTTTCACTCACCCACAAATTCTTTCTATTGGGTTTCATCCTTTTCTGCTTTGCATTATCAGGTTTTGAGAAGCACCATGATCTCTTCACTTAGGCTCACATCTTCCAATCTCACTTCCTCTGAGTTTTTCAACAGAAAATCTCCAGTTCCATGGCCGAATCTTCCATTGCAATCCTCGGATTGCTGTGCTCTTAAGCATGTCGATCGATCTCTTTCTACCAACAAACCACTTCACATCTCATCCGTTGAGAATCTTTCTTTCCCCACAAAATCATCTCAGCGTTCGACGGTGTGCAAGGCGTATGAGGCTGAATCCCGACCTCTTCAGATTAACATTGAGCTTCCCGATGAACAGACGGCTCAGAAACTCAAAATTGGGCTCTATTTCGCCACTTGGTGGGCTTTGAATGTGGTGTTCAATGTCTATAACAAGAAGGTTCTTAATGCCTTCCCTTATCCATGGCTCACCTCCACTCTCTCCCTTGCGGCTGGATCGCTCATGATGCTTATTTCTTGGGCCACTAGAATGGTCGACGCTCCCAAAACCGATTTCGATTTCTGGAAATCCCTACTGCCGGTAAATATAATTATAACTTTGAGATGCTCTGTTTTGGTATTAATTTTTCTTCAATTCAAAAACCTGGGTTTTGATTTTCGAAGAATATGAATGTAATAAACTGCATTACAAATTGGATTAGGGACTAATCTTATGCATGATGTGTTTGCTCTGTTGTTTTGCAAAACAGAGCATTCGAAAGTTCAATTCCAGATCACTAATCGGATATTTTGTGTGATATGGTTACTTTTATAGGTTGCAGTGGCGCATTCGATTGGGCATGTTGCAGCAACTGTGAGCATGTCCAAAGTCGCAGTCTCATTCACTCACATAATCAAGAGTGGGGAGCCAGCTTTCAGTGTGTTGGTGTCCAGGTTTCTATTGGGCGAGATGTTTCCATTGCCAGTTTACTTATCTCTTATCCCAATCATTGGAGGCTGCGCTCTTTCCGCCGTTACTGAGCTCAACTTCAACATGACCGGTGAGGAATCCTTGCCGGAATGTCTGTGCTTACTTGCCGCTGTAAATCTCAATTTGGGGGTTTGTGTTTCAGGTTTCTCGGGAGCGATGATATCGAACTTGGCATTTGTGTTTAGAAACATATTCTCAAAGAAAGGGATGAAGGGAAAGTCAGTGAGTGGGATGAATTACTACGCTTGCCTCTCATTGCTGTCTCTGCTAATTCTTACTCCTTTCGCCATTGCTGTGGAGGGACCCAAGTTGTGGGCTGACGGATTCCAAAGTGCTCTCTCCCAAATTGGTCCCAATTTCATTTGGTAACTACAAAACCCTCCAAATCCCAAATTTCTTCGCTATCTGAAATATGGGAATCCAGTGTCCTTTTGTTCCCTCACATGTGGTCCGATCTGATCTTTATTTAGAATGTGATATTGGGAGATTGAAGTTAAACCCATCGTTTGTGTTTGCGTGAAATTCAGGTGGTTGGGAGCTCAAAGTATGTTCTACCACTTGTACAACCAAGTGTCGTACATGTCTCTAGATCAGATATCGCCACTGACATTCAGCGTGGGTAACACAATGAAAAGAATCTTCGTAATAGTGTCGTCGATTATCATCTTCCACACTCCTGTCCGACCCATCAACGCCATTGGAGCTGCCATCGCAATCCTCGGAACCTTCATCTACTCTCAGGTACACCTTCTCCTCCGATCTCTTTCCCTTTCAGAAGAAAGCGCAAGTCTCATCTACGTATATTGTTTTCCCACAGGCAAAGCTGTGATTGAAGGAGATCGTTGTTGACGCCGATTTTGTAGCCACAGGGAGAGGAGATTGTGGTTGTGTTGGTTGAGATTTGGGCCTAGGTTAAGTCAAGCCTGAGTTCATGTTTCCTATAGCCCAGCCCACTAAAATGCTGTTAGAACGTGGAGTGGCTCACTCCTCCTCTAAGCGTCCGATTATGGACTTGGAACGGCTCGGTTAGATGGACCCTAAAAAGTCTGGAATTTTGAGTATTTTTAAATTATAAATGCTATTTAATTTATTCAGATGTTTTATATTTAAAAAAAAATATAAACTATACTTTATATATATATATATATATATAAATAAAAATCTATGAAAATGGCGACAACATAACAGACAACACTTTGAAGAATAATGAGTACATCACGAAGGTTACAATGCTACCACTACAGTGGCGGTGTGAGCGTGCATAGGAAAACAAAATAAAGTGCGTCTAAATTCCAAATTATATCACCAAAACACTGTTCATAAGATTAGTCCATTGCGAAATAAAGTGCATTTATTTGATATTTTTTTGGGCTAAACTCACAAAAAACGCAGCCGTTTTGCCTTTCCTTTTTTTCCTTCTTATTGGACACGAGAATTGAGACCCATAATGCAGCAGCAGGCGCCCAGTGTTGATATCACACGTCACATGGCAAACGCCAATAAATTCTGTGCATTATTTCTCACCCACCACTACCTTATTGCCTTCATTAATATTTCAATAATTATTTAATTTTATCAATGGTAGATGAAATAGTATATTGGGCGATGTTGAATGACAGGGGATCATACCCAAAATTGTAGGCGTTTATTTTGCAGCAATTAAGCACAGATCTAAGTTGATAAAAAAAATCTTGTTTTGCATATTACCTGAAAATTAGAAACTTTATTCATCTAAGAAAACCCAAAATAAGAACTGCTCACCTAAATCTGAGCATATTGATTATAATTTAGTTATAGTTATATTAGAGGGCAGGCAATGAATGAAGAATATTTATATATATTTACATGTAATGAAGAATAGTTGTTGAATCCAGCGACATAGAATTATTGAAAAAAACAATGTTTGATTAGCATTTTGGGAATTGGTAAACTTCATAAATGCAGGAAACAACCACCCCACCAAGCTGGTTGTGATTTTATTTTTCGTTATTTGGTTTGCGTGGATAAGATCTTGACTCACTGGTAGGGTCCCACACTTTTGTCACCATTTATTATTACCCATTTTCACATCTAACAAAACTTTGCATATTTTATGCACCTAATTATAAGTCTCTCATCCAAAAATATGCCAAATTTTACTCCTCGTAATCGCATTTTAATGCCTAAAAGTTATGGTAATCAAATGAGTTGACGTTTTGGCAACCACTTTAGCGGAATATTAAATTAACTCTGGTGATTAAAAGTTGTCCAATTAATGGCATGACATAAAGCAACCAAAATGGTTCCCTATTTGCTCTATTTGCCCCTTTGCGTGATCGCAACAAACTCCTCTTCCCCATTCTTTTTTTTTTTTTTTTTTTTTTTTAAAGCGAAGAGAATTAATTCTAAAGTAGATTTTTGGAAGGGAAGGATGGTAAAAGTAAACACTATAAGGCATCATCTCAACTACTTGCTGTTTAAGCCGTACCCTGCGAGTAGCTCTTTATATTTATTGCGTTGTTTAATCAACCAAACTCATTCACTTCGCTCACCGGGCCACCCACCCCCCGTTCTCACCTTTGGTTTTTTATATGCAAAGACGTCGCCATTTATTCTCAACTTTCAACTATCAATCACATTTCTTGATCTCGCCTCGCCTCTGCTATGGACTTACTGGATGCCGCTGTTCTTCTCCTGGCCTTCCTTTTTTTCTCCTTGTGGTGGCGTTACTGGTCTGCTACTGGGGGTGGCTCCAAGAATCTCCCTCCTGGGCCACCGGGCTGGCCGATTGTCGGAAATCTCATACAAGTTATTCTCCAACGTCGTCCGTTTATTTTCGTGGCTCGCGATTTACGTGAAAAATATGGTCCCATTTTCACAATGCAAATGGGGCAACGCACACTCATCATTGTGTCTAGTGCGGAGTTGATTCACGAAGCTCTCGTGCAGCGTGGTCCCTTATTTGCCAGTCGTCCTGCTGACTCACCTATTCGCCTAGTCTTTAGCGTCGGAAAATGCGCTGTCAACTCAGCTGAGTATGGTCCCCTGTGGCGAACACTCCGCCGTAACTTCGTGACGGAGCTGATAAACCCGGCGAGAATCAAGCAATGTAGTTGGATAAGGAAGTGGGCGATTAAAAGCCATTTGGAAAGACTGAGGAAAGAGAATTCGGAGAAGGGATTCGTGGAGGTTATGAGCAACTGCCGGCTGTCGGTATGTAGCATTCTGATCTGTATATGCTTTGGAGCGAAAATCCCGGAAGAGGAGATTAAGGTGATAGAGAGTATACTGAAGGACGTGATGTTGATTACGTTGCCGAAGCTCCCTGACTTTTTGCCGGTGCTCACACCTTTGTTCCGACGGCAACTGAAGCAGGCGAAGGAGCTGAGGAGAAAACAGTTGGAATGTCTGATACCGTTGATAAGGAGGAGAAGGTTGTTCGTTGAGAGGAATGGGGATGAGAGCGTGATGAAGGATTTGCCGGAGATGGTTAGTCCAATTGGAGCTGCGTATCTTGATTCGCTATTTGAACTGGAAACGCCTGGACGTGGGCGGTTGGGGGAGGAGGAGCTGGTCACGCTTTGTTCGGAGGTAATTAATGCCGGAACTGATACCAGCGCCACGGCGCTGGAGTGGGCTTTGCTTCATTTGGTTCAAGACCAACACATTCAGGAAAGACTATACAACGAAATCATTAGCGTTGTGGGTAATGTTCATCCATCCCTCATATTTTGTTTAAATAGATAAAAATAGCTTGTAATCATAACATTCTTAGGAACAAAATTGGAAGATGGGTTCAAAATTGAAATTTATTGAGCTAAATTAAAGCTAAAAGTTAACCTTTTAGTGGAATGTTGTAACAGGTAAAGATGGTGTGGTAACCGAAGGCGACGTAGAGAAAATGCCATATCTAGGGGCAGTTGTGAAAGAGACATTCCGGCGACACCCTCCCAGCCATTTCTTACTATCTCACGCGGCGACGAAAGAGACGGAGCTCGGTGGATACACGATCCCGGCGGACGCCAGCGTGGAGTTTTACACGGCTCATTTATCGGACGACCCCAACACGTGGGAAGAACCGGGTTCGTTTCGGCCGGATAGGTTCTTGGAAGGCGACGGTGTTGGCGTGGACGTAACAGGAACTAAGGGCGTCAAGATGGTGCCGTTCGGGGCAGGACGGCGGATCTGCCCGGCCATGACATTGGGGACGTTGCATGTTCACATGATGCTGGCAAGAATGGTACAGGCATTCAAGTGGGTCCCGGCTCCTGGAGCCCCCCCCGACCCGACCGAGACTTTTGCGTTTACGGTGATTATGAAGAACCCTCTGAAGGCTACCATATTGGAGAGGTCGGGTTAATTTTAGAGCCACTTTTTGTGGGAAAGGCTATAACTTTGGTCTTTGTTTAATTTTGTTATACTATTTCAATTTATGTATACTATCAACTATCCTTCCCTCCCAAATGAAGCTACTGTATTTCTCCAAAACTCCCTAAATCTTTCGTATCCTCATCTAATAAACCTTGTTCTTGTCGAGAATTATTGAGAGTGAGTCCCATGTTAGTTAATTTAGTGAAAGATCCTGAGTTCATAAGTGAGCCATACTAATCTTTTTTAGTATAAGGCTTTATAAGAAACCCAAAGTAAAGTCACGAGAGCTTGTACTCATAGTGGACAATATCATATCATACCATTTTATAATTTTGGGTCCACTTTGAGCTTTAAATTGTGTACCAAAATCATAGCTGGGTTTGCAACTTGATTATTAAATTGATGTGAGGTATGAAGTTATGTCCACCACGTTCTTTATCGACCGGTTCTTCCCGCTCTGCACATAGATCGTATATATTTTTGGTGGCGATAATAAAGTATCAGCTACAATTAATTCAGTAATAATAACAAAAAATTGTTAACAAAGATTTGAATTGGTACATGAAAAGAAAAATAATAGCATTAGGTTATAAGAAAATAAATGCGGACATTTAATTGTAGCGGGCAAGTTGCAGCAGTAATTGCATCCATATGGTGTAGAGGTTAGTTGAAACTATTAATTTGATTCATTTCTTGGGGCTTTGCACTTCCCCAATAATTATTCAACAATGTTCTTATCTTCAATATTTTTTATATTTAAAAAAATTATATGCGTATTTAAATCAAAATAACATTAAATGAGTATTATTTTATCCATAAATTGTCTATTACAAATTAGACGAGTGAATTATAATGTGGGCCAGTGGTTCTTATTGGGCCGTATAGTCAGGCCCATGGAGTGGTGTTTTTTAGAATATTGAGCCCGGCCCAAAGATATAGTCAACCCTGAACGAAGGAAGGAATACGGATTTCAGAGATAGCACATAGCAGTTATGCGAGTCAATGGTGTTGGGTAAGATTGTTGTTCTTCAGCAACACATTCAGCTGTAGAGCCAAAGAGATAGAGAAGCAGAAATGGAATGGTGCGAGTCGATGCCGAAAGTGGAGCTTCATGCTCACCTCAATGGCTCCATCAGAGATTCTACTTTACTGTGACCTTCTTTTCCCTATTATATCCATTTTCTGTCTTCTCTATACTTGCGCCACTTTTGATTTTCACTTATTTGCGTCTGAGATGGTGTTTCTCTTACAGGGAGCTTGCCAGAGAGTTGGGTGAGAAGGGCGTCTTAGTGTTTTCTGATTTCGAGCATGTCATCCTCAAAAGTACGCCGTTTCTTTCTTCCTTCCTTCTTGGATTCTAGTTGTTTTGGAAATGTGCAACAAAATTAACACCGATTACATTTCTAATTCAATGCTTTGAAATTTATGTTATGTAATGTCAGCAAGCTCCAACCATGGCCAGTTGTTTCAAAAGATACTGCTGTTTGGATATTGACGTTTAACTCAAGTTTTTGTAGTTTTCTTATAGGGTTCTCGATATTGTAATATGTACTCTTTTTTCCATGTTACATAAAATCCGTACACCAATATCTACAGCTCTATTTGATAATTATTTGACTTTTTGTTTTTGGTTTTTGAGAATTAAGCTTATAAAACTACTCTCACTCGTAGGTTTCTTTGTTTGCTTGCC